TTCTTCAGGAATATAAAACTTGTTTTTAATTTTTTCTTGAACAAGTTTTGTGACGCTCTTGAAAATCCAGTCTTCTTTTGACAAGAAAGATCCATGAAACTCTTAAAAGATTTTGTTCATCTTATTTGCGGTATAAATGAGAGCGTCACTTGGGTACATCAAATTTCCTTCCGAAAAAAATTGAATCCAATCAGGTGAATTATGATGTACTCCTAATTGACGCGTTGGTACACCTAAATGGGGATACTTTTTTCGAAATCTGTGAGCTGCATATCCAGCTATATAATTAAGAGCTTCACCTTCGATTATTTCTTGAACGACAGTTCTTTCATTGGTAGGAATATCATCTACAGAAACGGAATGTAACATGATTTATACAAGAATAATTAATACGTTCGCAAAATAGCCATGTATCCATGGTGTAAACTTCTCCTTACACCATGGATGCACCGGTGAAATATTCCCTTTTGCATCTATCATGTATGGGATAATGACCGTCCTTTTCGGTAGCATCAATATTCGGTAGCATCAATATTTTTAACATTGTAAATAAAAATACCTCTATCAGAATCAGAATCATAGAAATCTGCTGAAACCAAATGTTGATCCTGCAGATCTTTGAAAAGATTATCGTCTTCTTCATTGACATTACCATTTTCGGGATTTTCTACAGCTATTTGCTTCATAGGATTGTTTAGATCACTAAAATCAACCAACGTCACGTCACAATCTGGTTGAGTGTTACAAGATTCAGACAAAATATCAGCTGAATGTTTTCCGAGTATATACCAACGTAGCCTATAGCGTAGATTTAAGGCAGATGGCTGGTCATTTGTAGCTCCCATTCCTCGAAGGAATGAAAATAAGTTTTCTAGACAATCTTGGTTTAATTTGTTTGTCAAAATAAACTTTACTTTAAAATCATTAGAATAAGTTTCTTGTAAATATGGTAACAATTGTTCAAGCGATGTGTTACTCAGTATTATTCCTTTCTGAAATGGCAGTAAAGTATTATGCCTTTGTACTTTCATTTTACGCATTAAATTCGTAACATTACGTAAAAGTTCATTTTGTTCCTCTAAATTGCATCCGTAAGGTGTTTCACTAGGTTTTCCTTTACTACAGAATTTGCTGTTAAGAAGGTCGAACCAATCGTTTATCTGTTCTACAAATTCTGCTGTTTCTTTACAATTTTCACTAGTCAAAAAACCTTCTTGGTGATACCATGTAATTGCACGCGCCGTACTTTTAGACAAAACTTTTGCAGCAGACCGAACTTTTTGACGATTAGCGCCTGAGACATCCAAAATATTTTGCGATATTTTGTGTAAAATTTTCAAGTCTTTATTTTCTTGCAGCTGTACTATTTCTTCTATACATTCTTTAGTAATACGTTTTTCGTTTATAATAAAACCATTATCTAAAAAATGATTCCTCACAAGCTTCAGTAGATGGAGGGACATCGGCAAATACAAAAACTTTAAGATTTTGATCTTTTGGATGCAAAAAGAAACAGTTTTGTGAGTCATTTATGCCGATATTTAGTTGTGTCCAAACTTTGGTATTTGAAGATCCCAAATCAGTGGTAACTGCTACTACAGTGAAACCAACATCGTACAAATTCGAAATAACATCTTTTACAATGTCCAGCGTTAAAGGTTGATCTGCTTTGTAATAAATTACTTGCTTCCATTTGCCGAATAAACCTCTAGCCATCCCCACTTGGCAGGTCTTGTGTGGCCCAACGACTCGCTCGTTTTTTTTTTCAATCTCTACTTTTTGCGATGTATAAATCTCATCGAAACTAAGAACGACTATTTTTTGAGAAGCAGACATAGATTTTCCTTTCTCTTTTATAACACTTATTACATCTTTCAAAATACCTTCATCTAGATTTAAGCGAGTTGCCCATTTTCGCAAAGTAGATAGTCCAGGAAGTGGGTATTTATTTTTCCTTAAATATCTATACGCTTTTGGACTGACACTCCGTAACGATATTGCAGAGGAAATGTCTTCTATATTCCATTTAACTCGCTTTTTATTTGGGTACATAATTCTTTCAATTTGCTTTGGTGTAAAAACGTTTTTAAGAACTTCGTTAACTTTCTTTTTAATAGTAATATTTGTTCGCTTTTCAAGACGCTTTAATTTTATTTTAAGTGCATTAATTTCCTTATTCTTTTTTGCCAATTCTTCATCTTTCAGTTTTTCTTGACACCTGAAATAAGATTAAAATAGCTTTAATGAAATTTATTTTATTTTATGTATTTTTTCCGAATAGTGACACATTTAATAATCTTAAATATGTAAATGCTTATATTCATACCTGACAGTTTCATGATGATCTTGTACAATCGATTGACTTTCACTACATCCAGCCATGTTAAATGAATGTTCTACATTACTTAAAGTAATTTTATTACTATCAGAAACACTGACAAACAAGTTTTCGCAATCCTTTGTTACTTCATTTTTATCTGAAACACTATTATAACAAATAAAAAAATACTGTCACTTTAAAGTAAAAGGAAAAAATTATAAATATTCTATGTATGTAGTTATGTATGTACCTGACATTTTCATTGATTATGTTATTGACTGATGTGGAAATATTCATGCTTTTGCAATTTTGGTCATTTGAAACCTCAATGTGTGTGCATACATTTTCTGTATTTATATTTTCAGCATTGTCTCTGCTCATATTTGAATTAACTATTGTTTTAGCTATTATTTCTGCATTTTTTTTATACACGTTTACTTCTCTCAAGACACCTTTTGCTTCCTCAAAAATCAAATTTTCTGTCGGTACTGCATTTGGTAAAAGTGTACGTATCCCCTTTGCATAATTATCACCTAAGCATTTTAAATGTTCTGGGATTTCCTTATAACAATTTAGTGCAAAATGTATGGAACATACTCGAGCTGTAATAATTAAAATGTTTACATAGGTAATAAATTATTTTAATATTTTTCACGTCTTAGTTAAAAAGTATACTTACCATTTTTGAGGTTAACACTTTTACCACATGCTTTTATCCACTTTGCTGCAGTGTCTTCGTCTTTCGGGAAAGAAAAGAAACGTATTTTCTTTTCTTTCACATTCTCGTACCTATTTTTACATCCCTTAACACTGCACACAGGCATATTTACATCTTTTGTAATACGGTCTGTAGTTACGATTCCGTTCTGTTTATGGACTGTCAAAATCCAATATGTCGGCGACTTGTTCCACCGCCATGTCTGCGCAGAACAGATCAAATTTTGGTCTGCCGAAAGAGCATACCTCTTTTCTTTATACCATGAGACGGACAAGTTTTCGTCCGATCTACTCTCAATCTCTCGTTGGACGGAGTATATTCAGGTTGTCCCAGAGGACCCTTGACGCTCGTGAGAAGCTAGAAGGGATCGCGATAAACAATAATTACTGCTTTATTAAGCATTATAGAAAAAAAAATAACTCAGAACTTTTTGACTTACAATTAATATTAAAGAGGAATAACACTGTGTAATTAGTGGGCGGTCTTTAAGTAACACTCTATATATTATTAATGTGTATTGGTCAATTTATAGATGCTTGTTTCTTAACTATATAATAAATTTGATTATCATCTCTGTCCTTTATTAATCTTCATATATGCTTGATGTATTTTTTTATTAAATTCATAAATGTCCATTCTTCTAATGTCTACATACTAATGTGTACTACATTTTATTAATTATTAATAATTAATAAAATGTAGTACTGTATAATATTATATAATATTACTAAAAAATATATAAATTACTATATACTTACCAATATATATCTCATTATGCAAATCCAATAAACGG